AATATAGAAAATATTACAGGTTTATTATACTTTATCAAGAAGTCCAAAATCCAAAATACCGGTACTCCAAAATTGCCTACATGAGTGATAAGACAGTGATATCTTTGCTTTCCGATGTGTTAATTTTATTCCATGCACAAAATTATTAAAATATGATATTAAATTAACTTCAGATTGTGTGTATAAATGTATATGAAATTTAAATTATTTTCATGCTTAAGTTTGGATCCCATCTCCAAAATATCATGTTATGTATGTATATGTAAATACAGGTATTTTAAAATAAAATAAAAATTTCCAAATCTGAAACACTCCTGTTCTCTAACATTTCAGATAAGTTCACTCAACTTATGAAAAAGTTCACTCACTTTAGAAAAAGAGAAAGACCACGTTACAGATGGATAGACAACCAAGCCAGGCCCTGGGTCTGCAAGACTTGAGCTGATGATAAGATAACCCCTGGGAACGTCATAATTAGTTTATAATGATGTGAGAACATCTAGGGGAAATAAGCCAGATATGTAACCCTAAAACAAACACTGAGTTATTTCTCTGATTTTTCCAAGAAGAGAAACACCAGATAGCCTGTCCCTGCTATATTCACATGTCACAATAAACAGACTTTGGACCTAACTGTCATGGTTTATTCAGCTACTTCTGAAGCAAGAAGGTCTGATTGATCAGCTTGTTGTGGTATTATACATTATCCTTAATAAGCCAGGATTCCCTTGAACTCCTACTTGCCAGGATGTCTGAACAGAGTCAATAAAACCATGAATCCTATCACTATTGAAGGCCTTCAGGGGAATTGAAATAGTAGGAATGCAGTGATTATTCTCTCAGATTCATTCAGCTTTCAACCTACCTCCCCCCAAACTACTAAGCACAGAAAGAAGGCTTCTTGAGTTTGCAGTCCCTTTAAATAGAATGCTTCTTATGTTTCTGGATTTAGTAATACTTCATTAGAAATGTGGGAATCTCCTGTACCCATGTAACCCTAACCTATAGCTAAAAAGTGCTGTGTGGCAAGCTGCTATTTCAGTACAATAACCCTTTATTTGCAGTACAATTAAAATTATATATCTACCCCATATTACAAAATATGCTGTACTTCTAGTGATGCCAAGAGAATCCATCTCTTTGTGATGTGAATTCTATACTCACACCTGTGATCCATACATAAGCTATGCCTATTATCATGTGAGAGACCGAACAAAATTGCATAAGCCACGAAAGCTTTGTCTCAAAACTACAGAGGTAATCTGTAATTGACAGCCACAGAACTTCAGCACACTTTGGATAGACATCAAATAAGAATCTAAACAATGTTTAAAAAGCTCTCTCTTCTGTGTCAACATTGGCCTATGAACAAAATGTTATTTCTGGTTACATTTCAAAACCCAGAAGTCTACAAATCTGCACTTATTTGATAGGGATGGTGAATTGAGCCCACTGGAATTTGTTTTCTGTTTCGTGTGCATGTTTGTGTATGCATAATTGCTGCAGTCTGTTTATCCATCTGCCTTAATCTGTGTAATCTAGGGCATTTTGGGAGACATAACTCTCTCTTGGATTTACCGTGGCAAGTTGCATTGCTGTAGCAACACGCTCCAACAAACCCCTTTACACCTTCCATCTGCCTTTCCATTTTTCTTGCTGGCGCAACCCCAGACTCTCTCCCGCCTCCCCCTTCATAAAGGAACTGTAAAACTTTCTGAAGTTCTCCTCCTCTCCTCTCAAATGCAGTGCCAAAAACTCACAGTGAGGATTTCCACACTCCCATCCCATCTGACAAACACACATAGCTCCTGCCGTCTTGTTTACAGCTGCAGAGACAAATGTCTAGCCCTGCCATCCTCTGTCAAGAACAGCAGGCATCTTTTAGGGAACATCATTCATTTTATTTTCCCTAATTAGACAAATTAGGTGGAGGATACAAAAAACTTCACAGAACATTTCTACATACAATTCTTCACACATCTCAAGGAAGGGCAAATAAACTCCACAGCAGACACACTCATTAAGGGATTTGTTGGGTGAAAGCTATCTGGACTTTGGAAAAGCAGCATTTTGGATCCATGTTCTCAGAATCCCCCAAGCAGTGTGGCCAGTTCTGTGAATTGTATTGCAAACTGTGATAGTTGCAATTCAAAAAAGTGATGTGCCCAAACTGTGGGATTGTCTGGCTAGGACCACCAAAATGAATTGTGGGAGAGTTCATTGACCCAATCAGGCTATGCAAGAAGAAGGTCACGGATTTAGCCCCCAGTGCTTTCAGTCCAAAATATCTCAATAAGACTATATCACATTTCTGTCCAAGAATCTAGGCACTGTTAGTAAAAACAAATACTTCTAGACTATATAGCCCAATGTTATTGCTCAGTAGACAGCTTTATGCATTCATGTCTATTGTTGACATGAGAGGAATCTAGAAAGTGTTTACACAGTCTATCTTCACAAGAAACATATTTGGTTTTTTCTGGTTTAAAAGATAATCTCACTCAGATAGCAGCTCTGGGATACAGACACCAAATAATGATGGTACTTATATAGCCAACAACCTCTGTCCTGAAAGGTTCTCCATATCTGGACTTTTAGATTTTTACAGGCCTATGTTCATAACTTTGCTGCCTGCATGACCACTGGTCATACTGGTATGACCTGTATCATTAAATCATATCATTCTAATGATGTCTTCACCATGGAAGCTGGGTTGGTGCAGTAATGTGTTATAAAACATCAGTTGCCTTACTTCACTATACCTTCTAAAGCAGATACAGAGTGCATCATCTGCTTGACTGCCTGGGTGGCAATTTAAGTCCAAGCTTTCTTGGATGAAGCTGATCATTCAGACCCTTTCTAATCCAAACTTTGGTGTGCTTTGATCACTTAATAATTTCAGGACCTAAACAGAATGAAGGCTAACTCGGTTGGTTCGGGGGGGGGGGGGGGGCTCTTATTGCTATTTGGCAACATCAGTCATGGAGAATTATTCCAGTTAAGGGCTTGAGGATACTGTCTCACTAAGGAACTGGTCCCACTGAGCTGAATACTTTTAGAGATTGATGCTAGTAAGAATTGCTCAACACTTTTACAACTGATCAGTGACTTTAACCAGTGATCTATTTTGTCCCCTATACTTTAAGACATCGCCATGAAGCCACTGGAAGAGGTCAGATGGAGTTTTTGTCTCATCAGTATATTGAAGATATCCATTTCTCTTTCTCTCTCTCCAGCTAATGTCTGATACTATTAGGCAGTAATAAACCAATCCAGGATTGGAAATATTTCAAGGCAGTACCTTATTATCTACAAGTAGACCACCCAGTCTTTTTGTATGTATCTCCTCCTTAAAAAATGGTACTTTTCCAAATACCAAGAAATCTTCAAAAATGCTATCAAAGGGCTACCAAAGAAAGTGTCACCCAAACTTCTCCCAGTCTGAAAATGATATGAAACAGAAAGAGGAAGCCATGTGATATCGCCAACAGCTTGCAGGGCACAGTCCATAGGAGGGTGTGGGGTGTCAATTGGCCAGCGCAGCTACACTAGAATCATAGAATTGGAAGAGACCTTGTGGACCATCCAGTCCAACCTCCTGCCAAGAAGCAGGAAAATACTAAACAATTTGGTGTCCATATATTTGAAATAATTCATCTCCTATATAAACCACATCTTTGTTTTGTGATGTGTTTGAGATAATGTGCCAAATGCCCCGGCATCAAAGATTGGGCAAAGTTTTTTTTTCTGTAGCAGCTTCTGCTCCAGAAAACATCATCCATGAAAATATTGCATTGGCTTAGTCTATGTTTGTTTTAAATTGGCTGTTACCACAGTTTTGTTCCACTAAGACGTTGATGGTTTTAACAGCAACTAATCCTTCTCTCTAGTTTGTTTTTACAGTGTTCCTTCTCCTCAAAATCTATGCTTTAATATTCTGACAGTTTAAAGTTTTAAAATTGTCCAACTCTTCCAGATTAGTGGAAAGAAACTAGTCATCTCACAACAGAGAGTCTTGATTATTACCAGTCAGTATCTCTATTTTTACATCTATTTGGAGCTTGGGGGGGGGGGGGGATGACACTGCAGCAAATAGTTGACCCAGAGTCATCCTGATGTCATGGCATTTTAGGTTACTAGTTCAATTATCATTCAGAACTTGCCAATGCATTTGCTCATAAATGGCTCTGGATGTTCTGAGACCCCGTGGGCACGCCTTCTTTGTTAAATGAATGATGTTCTTACAATAATAATATATTCTTTGCTCTTCACTCCATTGAAGAAGAATGACCGAGAACCCAGCATGAATCACTAAACCATACAACTCCTTGGGGTTTTGTTTGTTTAATGTGATCTATTATGGAATTAAGAAACAGCAACTATATTTCTTACTGGGAATGAAATATTGTTGCTGGTGCTAAAATTGTAACAGAATGTTCCATGAAAACAAAAATATTATCTTTTTTTAAAAAAAACTACAGCAAAAAATACAGTAGCCAACAACAACGTATTTTTTCTGCTTGTAGACTCTAGTGTATGTCTGAATGCCCTTTGGAAAAATTAATTCTATACATACGAATATTATTTTGTAACAGGAAGTATTTAGTCATATTTTGGGAGCAAATATTCTGGGAGTAACAAATATGGAGCCCATTTCTTGCTTCAATTTTTATCACTACCTTTTGGGTATTCCCCATTTTCTGCTCGGCCTAGAGTTAAAGATCCTTATGAAGAGACAACTAAGGGGTACATAATAATATAACATGGTGGATCCTACTGTTTCAAGGTAATAAAACATAAACTCTCTGAAACTGTTTCTGTCCATAACTGAAGATGAGAGACATGAAACCAAGACATCTGAATTGGTCCTCTGGGAGTCAGGGGCATTACACTTCAACTCAGACAAAAACGGGGACAGTACTAACAGAGAGAGGTGGATGGGTGAAAATTCAAAGAGAGACAGCTTGAAGCCTACAGATCCACAGTTGTCGCACTGATACCTCCGCAGTGGGTGAGTCCGTACAACGTGTAGCCTTTGTGACACAAGCACTGGAAGCTCCCTGGTGTGTTTACACAGATGTGGTCACAGGTTCTGTCAAAGGAGCATTCATCGATATCTGGGGACAGGAAAAGAGAGCACATTTCAGCAACTAGGCAGCCTTCTCCTGAATGTTTGGGTTATTTTGCTACTTTACAAGTCACAAATTATGAAGCTTTATACATTGTTTAATGCCAATAGGACAATCTTTTTGTCAATGTCATTCTAATAGATCAATGAATAGATAGATTGATTGATCGATCAACAGACAGATAGAGGTCTAGCTACTGATATTGTCTCTTGTCATCCAGACTCCAAATGAGACTTCACAATAAAGTCAGCCCTCCACATTCATTGGGGTTGGGAATACATAATCTGCGTGAAAGCAAAAAACTGCAATAAAAATATTGCTGTTTTTTTATCTGAGAAAACACCCCTTTAGAAATTTCTAGGTCTTCCAGCATGACTCTATGGCCCACTTCTGCTGGAAGGGGGCCACAGGATTACATTGGAGGACCTAGAGATTCCTAGAGAGGGGTTCGCTTTAGAAATCCCAAAGTCCTCCAACATGATGGGAGGAAGTAGACCATGGAATCACACTGGAGAAACTAGAGATTCCTAAAGAGAACATTTTAAATTAAGTCAGAACAATACCACTGTAATTACAACCAAGAACCCATATTCAAGATCTCTCTTCCTGTCTCAACACAGTTAACTCCATAGGATTGGTGTGAGGATAAAGTGGGGAAATTATGTCTGTTACTATTAACTCCTTGGAGAAAAGATGGGATAAAAATGGAAAGAAACAAAGAACCAAAAAAAAGAGTTCTCTATTTCCCTCATCTTTTCAATATATGGTAAGTGAAATAAGGATTGTAATTTAGGATAGTGATAGTGAGTATAGAATGGGGAGCTGGAAGAAAAATGATCATTATTTTCAGTTAATTAATCTAGTATGTAAAACTACAAACTTGGTTATGGGTAACAAGATTTATTTTTATTTATTGTGTCAGAAGTGAACCAAGGGTACAATTGTAATGTATTTAAAAACACAAACAAAGTTTAAAAACTTGCACTGTACTAAATGTCCTTTGACCAGTAGCTGGCCACTTGGAGTGCCTCTGGCGTTGCTGTAAGAAGGTCCTCCACTGTGCATGTGGAAGGGCTCAGACTGCATTGTAGTAAGTGGTCTATGGTTTGCCACTGACTTGGTCCTTTCATTATTGGATGCTACTTACCGATGGATGTCAAATTGTGCAATACAGACTAAACAGTATAATTTCTCCAGTGGTGTGGGGTGTAGACATCCTGTGATAATGTGGCATGCATCATTAAGAGGCACATGGTACAATGTGTTCCACACTGGGCATGCGTGTTCAGCAGCAGAGTACCAAAGTGCAAAGGCAGATGTCTTCAGGGTGTCTGGTTGTGATTCACAAGATCAAAGACCTACACATTAACCTCTTAGCATCTTATTAAACAAGGCTATGACCTGGATCCCATGGGTCTCCCAAAAACTGAAAGAGCAGCAGAACTACTACAACTATGAAAAGTAAAGTATCTGCAAGTTTTCTGTATTGCATGTCCAGTCAAAAAAAGCCTCACCTCTAGCAGGAGTAAAACACAGGCCAACCTGGCAATTTTTACTAAAGGACACACCAAAGGCTCTCTACTTTTAATCTGAAGGGTTTTCATTGGGGCTGAGAAGCAGACTGCTTGCCACAGCCAACCTACTAGCTTCATGTTTATCCCATTAGTTTTATTAATTTAAGTTCATCAATCTCATTAAGAAAGAAAATTGCAAAGACTGAACCTGGATGGAGATGAAAGAGGTCGCAACACTCCCTGCCTCAACCCCCAACACACACCCAACTTCCCTTGGACCAGGCTCTCAGAAGTTAGAAGAAAACACCTGCACTAGATCACATGTCAACAGATGTCTGCCCCCACCAGCAGGCGGGCCGGCAAGGGAGACCGATGCAAATTCAAACAGAGAAGGAGGTGGTGCTGCATCCAGCTGCTCTCCCAAGCCAACACTCATTTTAAGGGTCATGAACTGGTGTCACGACTGTCAAGTGCATGGGCGCTAGCTAACGCTCTGAATGTCTCCAAGATACTGCAAAGGGAGAGACATTCTATTCTCTTTTCACTCTGGGGCATGCTGAGAAAAAGGGTACGAAGATAGGATTACTGGAGCAGAGTGGTATTAGATGCTACTGAGATTTGCAGGCTGTTGAAGGAGACCTCGCCCCCCATCAGGCCTCTGGTGGTCTTTGATTTTATTGGATTTACTTTTTGTGCAACTATTATTAAAGTTTTATTATGTTTGTTTTGAGCTGTAATTACTTAAGGTTATACTTTTTTATGAGGCTGTTCTTAATTGTTTTTCTGCAAGATACCTTGAGGGCTTTCACAGAGAAAAGGCAGGCATCTAAATTTACGTCAATAAAACAGAATGATTGTGTTACAGCATGGAAGAACTGGTTTCTAATTCTTTCCATGTTCAGAGAAAAGGACCAATGTGAAGGTACTGGCCTTTCCTTTCCTTCTTTCTCTTGCACTGTTTCTCTCTATTTTTTAACCTTTGCCAAAACAACCAGTGTTCTGTGAAGTACAAATAGGCATCAATCTTTGAATTTCTTTTATTATCATCTGCACTATTTTACACTGACAGTTTTGAAAGCTGTCGAACTCCAACTGCGCATTTTCTGTTTGAACTACAATCTGAGGTTTTTCAAAGAATAGAATGTATCAAATATGTTGCCCAGTGTCATGTTCATACGTGCCTTCTGCAAGATTTTTAGCAGCATATGTTCTCAAATTTTCACATTTATCACAAGGTTTTTTAAAAATGTCAACCTTTCCCAAATTTTGCATTTCCACTTCCCAGATAATATAGGGCAGGCTTGGGCAAACTTTGGCCCTCCAGGTGTTTTGGACTTCAACTCCCACCATTCCTAACAACTTCAGGAAGGGGGCTGAGGCTGTTAGGAATGGTGGGAGTTGAAGTCCAAAACACCTGGAGGGCCCAAGTTTGCCCAGTCATGATATAGAAGCTCCCTTTCTTAATTTATACAGTTATGAAATTTTGAATAATAACACCCCACATTCCCTACTTGTATTATCTGCCACCCACTTCACCTTCTAGATGAACAAAGACCTCTCTACATTTTTAATCAAGAGGAGGGCGACTAAAATGATCAAGGGTCTGGAGAACAAGCCCTATGAGGAGCGGCTTAAAGAGCTGGGCATGTTTAGCCTGTAGAGGAGAAGGCTGAGAGGAGACTTGATGGCTATGTATTAATATTGGAGGAGAAGTCATAGGGTAAAAATAAGTAAAGTATAGAAGAATACAGATTCTATGCACTGAAAGCACCATCTGAAACAGGACTTATAAAAAAAAAACAACTACCCAGCAAATCCACCCAGCAGTAACTTCTCATACTTAATAACTACATATCAAGTTACAATATAAGATTAACTTATCCTTCAGTATGAGATTTAACTTGCTCAACTAAGAAAATGTGTTTCATAAGCAACTATAACAAGATGATTATAGGACGCAAGCTTTTTTCTGCTGCCCTGAAGACTAGGACGTGGAACAATGTCTTCAAACTACAGGAAAGGAGATTCCACCTGGATATTACAGGAAAGAAAATTCCTGACTGTGAGAGCTGTTCAGCAGTGGAACTCTCTGCCCTGGAGTGTGGTGGAAGCTCTTTTTTTGGAGGCTTTTAAACAGAGGCTGGGTGGCCATCTGCCAGGGGTGCTTTGAATGTGCTTCTTGGCAGGGGATTGTGCTGAATGCCCCACGAGGTCTCTTCCAACTCTATGATTCTAAGTCAGGGCCTTAATTTTATATTTTTCCATTAATCATATTTCTAGTATCTGAATATACACCAGTATTAATTATATTTATATACATTAATATTGTGCTTGAATTATTAAATGTCTGGAACTACATGTTGTGAGCTAACACAAGGTTCCTTAAGCTGAGTTCAGGTGGCCCACTGAAAAAAGTGGTGGTGGACATGTATAGTACCTGTATGAAGGGGTATTTTCTTTTATCTGCCCCGAATTATTCAGCCTATCAAAGAGGGAGAAAACTTTCTCTTAGTCATACCTAATAGTATATTGTTCTGTCATGCCTGGGGAGCTGAATTACCCCCTTTCCAAGCTAAATAACCTGAAATGTTAGCTTCTTCACAAGCAAATTGATTCAGTCTTTTTATCATTTAGGTTGCCCTTTGCTGCACCTTTTCCAGATCTCTAACATGTTTTCCTAGATGAGATGACTAGACCTATACACAGTATTCCAAATGTTGCCAAATCATAGATTTGTAGAAAGGTTTACTTTTTACTTCATTTTCTAATTGTGGGCAACATCATCTTCCCTTTTTTAAAATAGCGTGGACTTCTTCAAAATCAAGCTGTCTAACCCAATCTCAAGATTGTTTTGATCAAGCACTTCCCGCTTAAAGAAGGTGCTGTACTTCCTTGAAAATGCTGCTTCACAACTTCTGGACTTGGATGCATATGTTTGTCTTGCTGTGAAGGGGCTCAAAAGATTTGCTACATGAAATTAGAAACAGACATGCAGCAAACTCAAAACTCTGGGAACAAACTGAAATCCAAAATCTGACAAAATAATTGGTCCGGTGTTACTGTTAAAGCTTGGGTCTGCACCACTTCTCTTTTAGTGTAAGCAGAGCTCGGAAAGCATTAGTCTCAAAGCTAATTCATTACCAGAAATCCAGCAATTAATTAATTTACATTAAATATTTCATTAATTTACTAATGGCATGTTGGTGAGGCACTGGATTTCAAATTTAAAAGTAAAAGATTGAAATTCAGTTTTGAAAACTGAAGTAATTAAAAATGGCTGCATGTGACTATTCCAAAATTACTTTCCAAAGTAACAAATGAAAAGAGCAGGTTGCTTCCCTATAATTGTAGTTCTTTAAGTGGTCATCTGTAAACTTACACAAATCTGTACCTACACAATACATTATTTGGAAACTTCTAGAATTGTTACGTAGGTATTTTGGCAGTAGCCCTGTCCACCTTTCATGCAAATATCCCAAGTGTTTCCTTCTTAAACCCTCATCTTCCTGGATGCTAGTGCAGCCACCTGAGGATGAAAGGAAAAGGAAGAGACAACGATGGGAGGATGGGCAGGTGTGGGTGTGTGAGTTCACAGATGACCACTTGAAGAAATACTCTTTCAGGTAAGCAAATTGCCCTCCTTCTTTGTGGGCTCTATTTATTTATTTCCTGCATTTATATACCACCTTTCTCAGCCCTGGGGGGAACTCAAGGTGGTTTACAACATACTAATGGCAAAAATTCAATGCCCACAAACAGTACACAAAGAAATCATAATAACTAATTATGACATATAGCTATGAACTTAAAATCAATTAAAATCCTTAAACATAAGACATACATAAAATTTAAACATTCAGACAAAGAATATAGTCATTTAGTATTAACATTAAAATGACTCAAGCAATTTGGAGTGTCATGCAACAGAAGAAAACAACACAGCTATCCAAAATCATAGGAACATAGAATCATAGAGTTGGAAGAGACCTTGTGGGCCATCCAGTCCAACCCCCTGCAAAGAAGCAGGAAAATCACATTCAAGGCACCCCTGACAGATGGCCATCCAGTCTCTGTTTAAAAGTCTCCAAAGAAGGAGACTCCACCACAGTTCGGGGCAGAGAGTTCCACTGCTGAACAACCCTCAAAGTTAGGAAGTTCTTCCTCATGTTCAGGTTGAATCTCCTTTCTTGTAGTTTGAAGCCACTATACCGTGTCCTAGTCTCCAGGGCAACAGAAAACAAGCTTGCTCCCTCCTCCCTATGACTTCCTCTCACATATTTACACATGGCCATCATGTCTCCTCTCAGCCTTCTCTTCTGCAGGCTAAACAGGCCCAGCTCTTTAAGTCGCCCCGCATAGGGCTTGTTCTCCAGACCCTTGATCATTTTAGTTGTCCTCCTCTGGGCACATCCCAGCTTGTTGACATCTCCTTTCAATTGCGGTGCCCAGAATTGGACACAGTATTCCAGGTGTGGAATACAAATATAGCATCAACACTGAATCTTGAATCTATTCTAGGCCTGTGATTGTGTAGCCACCCTGCACACAGCCTCCAAAGGCATGCCCTTTAGAAAGATAAATGTTGCAGCCTTAGTCCTGGGAGAATGGCTACATACATGGAGTGAGGTGTGTGTGCTTTCCTAGCCAGTTCATAAACCAGATGAATTGCAGATTACACCCACTTTGAAAAGTGCTGCAAGCCCAAACATGACGAAATTTGCTGAGAGTGACAATGAAGAGGTGACTATGAATGTGACAGAAAGTAAGTCATTTGCAAAGCAGTCTTTCTCAAACATGTCTAAGGTGTTACTCGGTAGAATCTTGAGGCAGTTTACAATATTGTTGTGGCTTGAACTTCCCTCCTGATAATCCCTTCTTTGAGGAATGAAGAAGCTGTCTGACTCCTCCAAGGCTGTATTGATAACCCGAAGACTAATGATAGCAAGAGCAGGAAAAAGTAGAGTGACCAATCTGAGTGTTAGATGGGAGCCCAAACTTCTTGTTAGTATTGCATGTTTTGTGTTCATTCGATTTATCATATCTTTAGGCATTGAAAAGACCTCCCTCATCAAAGAGAAGGCTAAATTGGAATAGTGTAACCACTTCTATTGTTGAATGGTGAACAGTGGTGATTTGTTGGCCAGTCGGATTTAAGCTTCTGTTTGTAAAACAGAGGTAATTTTATGATTTTCATCTGATAATTTGTCCCTGTATGGGGGGATATTTTCTCCTATAGGAGCTGTTGATATGCCTCCCCCCCCCCAATATATCCTGTACAGTTAGATATAAGGAAAATGGCTGTAGAGTAGAACTTTCTTCCTATGGTATCAGCTAGGATTGAATGAAGACATCTTGGATTGGCCACATCAGCTATTATTGAATTAGCATTATTCAGCCATTCTGGAAAAAAAAACCCAATAACCTTACATAGATTCTCAGACATGGATAGGGCAGATGAAGATACAGACCATGACTTCCTTGATTCCTAAAGCAAATAAGGAAGAATCAGGAGCAAAGCAGGAGCATGTACTTAGATTTGTTCCCTATGAAAAATTGGATGGTCAACCAACATTGTTGCTCGTTTACTTGCCAAATCAAGTGCCTTAGCCATACACAGCATTTTGTTAGCAAAATGCCATATACCATCAGTAGGAGAAGCTGGGTCATACTCTGAGCAGTAGTTTTGGAAATCACCACCATAACGCTTAGGTAACAATTCTAGAAGGTTCCAAATGTTGCACCGTACAAGCAGATATGATCCCATTTGTGTGTTACTGAGGCAACGATAAAGGATAACAAAATAAGATCAAGTGTTATAGAACACATTGGTGTGATTTAATTATTTAAATAAACATCTTTAAAATCATTGTTAATTTTTTTTAAAAAAATGCATTAGCAGCACAACATTATTTTAACATATTACTTCCAAGTTCTAAGCAAAATGCTTAGATCTTTACATGGAAAAAAATAGTCACACGATTCTTTTCAACATGACACTGAAAAGATTTTACCTTGACACGTCCTTTCATTGATCAACAGCTTATATCCCTTCTTACAACTGCATTCAAAACTGCCCACTGTGTTCCTGCAGATGTGGTCACAGCCGCCATTGTTCAATCTACATTCATCAATATCTAGGACCAGGAAATAGAAAACAGAACAAAAGAGACTTAGCCAAGATAATGAAGTGTGAGGAAATGTAAATAGCTGAATTAGTCACCAAAATATCACCAAAGAATAATTTGGCAAGGAAAAGTAAAATGTTGGATAATGAGGGATTAAGGAAAAGCCGATTAAACATCAAATTATGTTATAATTTTATAAATTAAACACCAAAACATCATGTTTTATAACAAATCAACAGAAAAAGCAGTTCAATACATGGTAACGTTATGTAGTAATTACTGTATTTATGAATTTAGCACCAAAACATTGCAATGTATTGAAACAGCTGTGGATCCAGGCAGGAGGCAGACTGCATTGGATAATACAGAACGTTGGATAAGCAAAGGCTGGATAAGCGAGACTCTACTGTATATGCTTATTTTGATAGACATATGTGCCTAAACAAACTGCTTCGTTCACAGAGTTCAAACAATGTTGTCTTCCTTTTGTAAACTTCCTATATTTTATCAGCACTTCTTCTACCTTGTTCCCCCCCCCCCCCCCCCCCCCCCCCGCTCATTCAGGAGACAAAGATGAAATAAACGCTTTAACAGTTTTGCTTGGTAACAATGGGACTCTTCCATTTTTTAGGTCTGAACAATAATTATGCCAATACTGTATGTAAATAACAGTTTTGGGTGAGAGTGTGGCTTGTATCTTTGACATTTTGATAACCCAGAATGGGTTGAAGACTTCAGAGATATTTTATTCACAAACTGGAGTTTCCAAACCTACATATATTTATGATTCATGCTTTTACCTGGGAATTTCTTCAGAATGGATGTCTTGATACCACCTTCCCACAGAATACTTAGTTGTTAATAAATACACCAATATAGACAAGCATTGATAGTAAACATAAACATACGTTATTTATTTACATTTTAACAGAATGAGCAATTACAAAATCATATTTGCATCAATCAAATGCCACAGCTCTTAAATTAAGAATACTTATTTTAAAGAAACAAGCAACATAACCCAAATAAACAGATTCCAAAATCAAAGAGAGCTTGGGGGCAATGAAAAGATTTCAGTGAATAGGAGCCCTTCCACACAGCCATATAACCCAGAGTATCTAGGCAGATAATCCAGAATATATGCTTTGAAGTGTATTATCTGAGTCCACCTGCCATATAATCCAGTTCAATGTGGAAGGGGCCCAGCTATGTGGAAGGGACCCAGGAGCAATACATTGGAGGGACAGATACATCCTCTGTGATGTCTTAGATCTAGACTACCCATGGCTCTAAAACCTAAAAATACACCTCATTTTTAAGTGTCATGAACCACTTAGCCATCTCAGTCTGTTGATTGTTGTGAAGATCATGAAAAATCAGAACTGCATGATTATAATGATTATCTTAAGATGGGAGTAGAGTTGGCATATTCTTAAAGTAGCTGGAATTTTGGAAGTATCTTCAGAGGTCACCCCACATATGGCTCATTATGGTAGTAAAGTTAAGAGCATTCAAAACAGTGGCCAAGTTCTTTGCTTCCAGAAAAGGGCACCACTTGCCAAACCAACTGGAGCTGAAAGAATACAACTTGGCCACGGCTGTTTCAAGAGTTCTAAATATCAGTCAGATTTAGGAGTACCCACATAAATAGTATGGTTAGCCAACAAACTGTAGATTCCAACCATCGGCCAAAATAATTGCCAAGATAGTCTATGGAGAAAGTTTAAGCACACACACACTGACAGCTTGTGAGTGAACATCAGTAAAGTTAGCCTGATCTTGCAGCAAGCTCAAAGTTTCTGTTCAGAAAGTAATACAGTACTGATGCATCATTGAAGGCTGGTTGTGTGTCCAAAAGCTGCCCCTGTTGATTCCAATAGGGGAGAAAAAAAGAGGAGAAAACTAGAAAGATGTAACCCAACAAAAGATGAATCTTTAAAAAGGTGATGGGATCCTGTTGACAGAAAGAAGCATTGTATTTCAAGTGTAAATGCTACTTTTCTGAAGCAATTCTTAAACATTTATCTTCATGGACAAATTATGCTGCCTGGGCCGATGTTGACTATGTTAACAGTATGCTGGTCTCTTTCAGCATTACTTTAAAGAACAGGGAACAGGAGCATGAAGCCACCAGTTATTAAGGAATGACAAGCTAAGACATGTCACTGTGATCCCAGAATATCCACGGATTTGACATCCACAGTTTCACTTACCCATACCCCAAAAATATCCCCTTCCAGAAGTGTTTGTGGGCCTTGTTAAGTCCTTGGTGTGATTCTATTGTATGCTTCCAACTGAAGCAGAGTCAAAATTCAAAATATAGGGTTTGCTATTATACATGGTTTTAGGTATCCAAAGGCAGTCTCTTAGAATGAATCCTTTGTAGATACAGGAGCCATATGTACAGCATAAATATTTTATGCTCCTAGGATCATGGAAACATAGCAACAAAAACTCTTAGGATTATGACAACTATTTCTAATGACAGAGCAAAGTGGGATGGAGAAAGTGATTTTACTTCTCAGCTGCCTACCAAAAAAAGATGAAGACCAGGATTGTGAATGATGAGATGGCTAAGCAATCTTAGATACTCAAATAACAAGAACTGTAATAAACAAAAATAGAGTATGAAATGGTCTTCGGATAGCAATAGTTCTGGAAATCACTGTGCAGTATTTTAAACTTTGCAAAGGCGGCTGTATCAGCAAAACTAGCAGCCTTTCCCACTCTCAATTCCCAGTAATTCCCTTGTTGTTGTTGTTCATTCGTTCAGTCGTCTCCGACTCTTCGTGACCTCATGGACCAGCCCACGCCAGAGCTCCCTGTCGGCCGTTACCACCCCCAGCTCCCTCAAGGTCAGTCCAGTCACTTCAAGGATGCCATCCATCCATCTTGCCCTTGGTCGGCCCCTCTTCCTTTTGCCTTCCACTTTCCCCAGCAGTAATTCCCTACATTGTGAAAAAGCTGCTACTACCTGTTAAGGGATATTTTTACTTTCAAGGTTGAAAATTTACTGCTAGGAAATGGTCTGTAAAATACAATGAGACAGGGCTGATGAGCCCCAGAAAAAGAGCCCAGACAAACCTCATCCAAGGCTGTTTTCCTTGTCTCGCCCCACTATGTCAGTTATAGCAAAAAGTTGGAGCTAGCTTTTAATATTGTTGTTGTTGTTTTGTTGTTATTATTGTTATTGTGAGTGAAGAGAACTTGCAGTAAAACAGCTCCAAAGTGTAATAAAATCGCAGACATGGGATATAGCTCTGGGTTATTGTGATTTCCTGGAACTCTAGCATCTTTGAGGCGGTGAGCTCTGAAAAATAATAACCCAGCAAATGGGGTCTGGAATCAGTAAGGCGGTTAGACAGCTTTCAGCAGAAGGGCATTTTTTCCTTTTAACTAAGGTCACATTCCCTGGAGCTGCCAGAGACAGAACACAGACGCCCTCCATTTGTGGAGTCTCACCTTGTTCTCTGCGAGTCTTTCCAGATGACTTTTTAAAAAAAGGCTCACACACTTCACTTACTGCAAAAGCCATGTAGTGCTGATCCAACACCAATGGTGTGACATCCTGTCCTCATGTAATGAAGGGAGGGGGCAATGGAGCCATACACTTGTTTACCACTTTACAAAAACATTGAAGGAAGAGAGAATCTGATTTTGAAAGGCACAGCCTTTGAAGAGTTAATATAATTTAAACAAAACAAAACAAAATGCCATGATCCATGAAATGGAGAGACGCAGCTGTTGTGGCCAAGGTTTGTCTTGCTGGAATTTGCTGATTTTTTATGGGTAGCATAAGAGGAGGAGGGCTGTACAGCAGGATAGTGCAGACTCTCAACTTGCAAAGAAACAAAAACAAAACCTCCCATTTTTAAATTGTGTTGCTTCTTTGATGGTACAGTGTTCCCTCAATTATCACGGGGCTTCCATTCCAGAACCACCCGCAATAAGTGAAAATCTGCGAAGTAGGGATGCCATATTAATGTTCATATTTATACATTTTATATATTTTATATATTATTTTCTTATCCGCGCTTCCTCACCTGCTTCCCGGCCCATCCCAAGGGCACCTGCCCGCCTCCCTGGCCTCCACAGAGCCTCTGGAGCCACGCAAGCAGCAGCAGGCCAGGGAGGCAGGCCTTCCCCACCATGCCTCAGGCCACCCACGAAACAGAGAGTCTGCTAAAAGCAAACCATGACGTAGCAAGGGAACATTGTAATGCCAAAGGTGGTATCCAATAATAAAAGCTTGAAAAAGTTATGATTTTAAATGGCAGCCACCAGAACAGGCATGGGCAAACTTTGGCCCTCCAGGCTGTTAGGAATTGTAGGAGTTGAAGTCCAAAATGCCTGGAGGGCTGAAGTTTGCCCATGCCTGCGCCACAATGTCCCTAGACAGCACAGTTGCAAATGTATAATTTGGACAAGCACTTCAAAAATGCCTGGTAAGGTGTGTGCAATGACATTCCTGATTACGTTGTAACAAAAGAATACAAAACTCCACACGTATATTATTCTAAGATTTTTCCAGATCAATCTAACTGGTAGATTCATATTGTTTTGAGTGATGACTGTGGGGAGGAAAGCTCTGTGTTTCACCACATCAATACAAAGAAACAGATCAATTATCTCCCATCTCTTCTCTAATGAGCTAAGGGCTGTTGACATGGTTCTCCTCCTCCCCATTTTCATACTCCCAGCAGCCCTTTGAAGTATTTCAGGCTGTGAGAAAGTGCTTGGACCAAGGTCATTTAGCGAGTTTCATGGTTCATTTGAATCTACTCTTCCAAACCTTTGTTCAGCACTCAAGTTACTTCACCACTTGGCGAGTACAAGAGAATTAACCTTTTTGCATGAGAGAGAGCAGGACTGAGCTACTTTTAAGATGACAAAGCTAGACAGTATTACATATAAATGTTAAAGTCATTCATTGTAAATTGTGATTTCAACAGTTCTTCAAAGCTGACCAAGCACTTTATACCACCATCTGATGGCAAAGACAAATCAAAAGCAGGACATTGAAGTTTGGCATATGAAACAACACACAAATTTGAACTTTTTCTGCACATTGGTTTTGCTCCAAAATGGAGATAGGAATTCCACTTACTGGAGGTCTTGAGAAGACATCAATTGGACATCACATTAACTGCTAAATACACAAAGGCCTCCTGTCAAAAGTATGGATTAGGTGTTTCAAGCTGAAGCTTTACTTGTATGACTGGACTGCCTTATTTATGGAATTTTACAGGAGGAAGAAATGTTTACACCTTTCATTTCTTTTTGGCTTTGATGTTTTCCGACTGTTCTTTTCTTGTTCTTCTTTCAAAAGAAAATCCATTAACAGATCAATTGATAGCAACCAATAATGGCTGCATGATTAGTAGTGCTAGAAGCCATTCATTGTGAAGCATTTTCAGATAAATTCAGTTCACGTTCAAAACAAATGGAAGCAGCGGTTAGCCTTTTTAACCACTTTGTCATGTACAATTTCTATATCCCACAAAAATATTTTTAAAGTCACAAGGATTGATACATTCCTAACCTGTGTTGAACACATCTTTATCAAACAAAAATAAGTTTCTATAAACTGCAGTATAAAACTTATTTGTTCAGTTCTCAATGAAAAAGGTCTCTTGATAAGACATGCTCAAAATGCATCTGTATTTTGAATATTTTATGGTATTTTTAATAACTAGTTTTGACCCAGTCTTTCTATAAGCACCTCAGAATTTCATTTTGTTCCCTCTCTGCTTCACTGTGATCTTGCTAGTTGATAGAGAACTTAACATTTGATGTCATTATGCATTTTCAGTGTTCTCCTCCATTTTTATATGCCTTATGGAGTAATAAACCAGAGAGATTTCAATCCTTTTCCCCCATGAAGTGAGCAAGCCCATCCAAGGGGGCAAAGCTTCCATTGATACAAATAGAAACTATACTCCTAAAGTTAGTAGAAAGCGTCTGTTTGTACAAAGGAATAATTACAGTGTTCCCTTACTTATTGCGGGAGTTCTGTTCCAGAACCCCACACAATAAGTGAAAATCCACAAAGTAGAGACACCATATTAATTTTAATATTTATACATTATTTTATATATTACTAGTCATCCCCTGCCACACCTTGTTGTGGCCCAGTCTGTGTATATGTGTTTTGTGTGTGTATATATTTGAGTATATGTGTGTTTGTAGCGCTCCATGCAGTCATGCTGGCCACATGACCTTGGAGGTGTCTACGGACAACACTGGCTCTTCGGCTTAGAAATGGAGATGAGCACCACACCCCAGAGTCAGACATGACTGGACTTAATGTCAGGGGACAACCTTTACCTTTATACGTTGTAATATAATTTTTGTTTTTTGGCTTTTTAAGTCTCTTCTGCTGTGTTTTTCAGTGTTTTTATGAGTGATGGTCACTCATTGGCCTGATAGGTGCATTGTGTCCAAATCTGGTGTCAATTCTTCCAGTAGTTTTTGAGTTATTTTAATCCCACAAATGAACATTACATTTTTATTTATATAGATTTTCTAACCCACGCTTCCTTACTCCACCTCCCATCCCATCCCAAAGTGCCTGCCTGCCTCCCTGGCCTCCACAGACCCCTGCAGAGCATCTGGAGCAACGCAGACAGCAGCAGGCCAGGGAGGCAGTCCTTCCCCACCGCACCTCAGGCCGCCACACTTCCGGGGTCTGTGGAGGCCAGGGAGGCAGGCCTTCCCCGCCACATCTCAGGCCGCCGCACATCTAGGGTCCCTGGCCTCCACTGGACGTAAATATTTTATATTAATATTTTCAAAAACCCACGAAACAGTGAGTCCGCTAAAAGCTAACAGCAAAGTAGCAAGGGAACACTGTAAATGGTTGGTAGGTCTGTAAAGAACAGCGTAGAGGTGTAAAGAGGGAGTGAGAACTGAATCTGACCATTTTTACATTCCTGACATTGTCATGACGAAATCTTGAACTTGGGAAATCAAGAAAAAGCAGTAGTTTAGAGAGTTGTTATCAATCATCTTTGGTGAAAAGACTATAATCTTTTCGTATATTTGGAGAGTGGTCCTCAAAATCACAAGTCCTAGTGTACTAAAAAGCATATGATATGAGGTTCTCTTTTATTTGTATTTACTGAAATATTTATATTCTGCCCATATATACTCACCTCACTGCTATGATGGTTGTTATGTGCCTTCAAATTGTTTATAATTTATGGCAAACTATAAAAGAAGCCTATGCCAGGGTTTTCTTGGCAAGACTTATTCAGAGGGGGCTTGGACTGTCTTACTCTGAAGTAGAGAACATGTGATTTGCCCAAGGTCACCCAGTGGTTTTCATGGACAAGCAGATATTTGAACACTGCTCTCCTGGTAGCCTAGTCCAAAACTCAAACCACTAAATGATGCTGACTCCAACAGAGATGATTACAACTATTAAAAAATTGTAAATTACAATAATAGTCTATACAAGTAATACTATAATTAGAGACAGCTTCTTCAGATAAAATAGTAAAACTAGGCAGAAAACTAGTACTTTGAGAAAACAACAGCCTGCAGGAATAAAAACAGTTTTACTACCTACAGAATTAGAGTTTGTGTGTGTGAGTGCACACCATAAAGTCTCATGTGAAAATAATTGCATAATTTGTGCATGAATGAATGCCAAGAACACTTTTGTTCTTGTCCCCATCAACACATCCGTCCTCTACCACAGTTGCAATCTAGAGATGGGCCACTCCTTTGGATCTTGGAATTAATCTTAATAAAGGTGTGACTTCACACTGGACCAGTTGAAATTTCCAAAGACTCTTCAAAAATTAATGTATGTATACAGCAAACTGCAACCATCTAGAGCAGTGATTCTCAACCTGTGGGTCCCCAGATGTTTTGGCCTTCAACTCCCAGAAATCCTAACAGCTGGTAAACTGGCTGGAATTTCTGAGAGTTGTAGGCCAAAACACCTGGGGACCCACAGGTTGAGAACCATTGATCTAGAGGTAATTAAGATCTGACTTCACTAGGAAGAGATACAGAAGGTATACCATCCTAAATTGGATTACTGTACTTCTGGCTATAACCACCATCTGCTGAGTCTAAGAACATCGTAATATCACTTGATGAGTATGTGAAGATGGAGCTCAATGAGACAATCAATTATTTCACTGAATGAAACATTTATATTTAGGAATAGATTACTGTGTTTACATTTCTGAAACTTTTGCACTTTTTGATGAACATGAAAATGCAATTTCCACATGCATTTCTGTTTTTTTGTTGTTGTTGTTGTTGAAAGTCTATAAATAAAATGCACGTACTCTTTTGGATGCACTTTTCTTACTCTACACATTTTATCCTATGTATTTATTTTTATGTGTATGCAACCTATTTGTATTCGTTCTGATTGGACAACTCTGCTGCAAAATTAAATGATGTTTAAATTCTGAAGGATCATTGTGTTCTGATGCATTCAGTTTGAAAAGTGCCTCAATATGGGCAATGCCTCAAATTAAAATGTGAACCAAATTTCTCCGATACCTCTACTTGTGCCACATAGTTGGAACATCCCACCCAGGTTTTTTTTTTTAAAAAAAAAAAACCCTGCTCACAAAATTGTAAAACAGAGAAACTAAACAAACAATAGTCTTAGTCTCTGTGGAAGGTGCACTCTTTTATAAGGGATATACATTTGGTTGCCAGTCACCTTTGCATGTTTTTCTGTCGGGCTGAAGCATGAATCCCATGGGGCAGCTACAATGCACACCAGTGGCAGCATCATGACACTTGCTATCACAGCCTCCATTGTTGACAGCACAGGTCTCTGAAACAAGAATAATAAATATTCAAAAAATTTTAAAGCATGCAGCAAAATCAAGATGTCTGAAACAGAGCCTTAAGACTATCAAAGCACTGATATTCGCGATAGGAAATATTAAACAGCTGACTTAGAACATCCAGACACCTTAAATGTGGATTAATAGTAGCAGTGGTCCCAATTTCAGATTTATTAACATTTGGTTCAAATATAAAATCTGAACAAATCAGTGGGACTCCAAATTCCTGACCTTTAAAAGTTTAGATCTTAGCAGGACACAATTTGGCTTAGTATTAATTCAAGAATTTTGAAAAGTGTATTTTCCAAACCTGAAAATTCACATTTACTATAATTTCCAAACAGCCAAAACTTTGATCAGAATTACGTCAGACCTTTCTCTATGTGATCAAAGAAAAGAAACATTCTGGTACTTGTCACCAGATCAAGGACCATTTGCTACAGCTAATGCTCCTATTCAGCACTCCTGGATCTTTTCAGGAAAAATCCAGAGAAAGTGAGTCCACAATAATATGTGCCATCATTGCATCTGTGTTGTGCAGTTCTCTGTTTAGCAGTTATATCACTCCCTGTTGTGGAAGGCTAAAAAGAAAACCCATTTTGTAGGGATACAAACATCTTTTAAATATCTTAATGTACATTGAACGTTTTGAGTATTATTTTAGCAACCTAAAGCTTACAAGATACAAACTACTATACTAAAGTTTTTAATAATTTTAGTCTTCCCTTCCCTCCACAAAAAGTGTAGGGTAAATGGCATCTACAAGGAAGAACTGATGGATGAGAGGAAGAATGCTGGTCCTTTCACCTGCCTACTAAATCTTCCATGTAAATGTCAACACTCGGTGTCTTGAAAGGTATTTTGCCCCCAGCTGAGATCTGACATTGGAGGGAGACTTTCATTAAAAACAGGTATGGGCAAGAAGGGGACGGAAGCACACAGAAGGGTTACACAAATCAATCTTGCCTATCCTATCCTTTCAGCATCATTAACTTAACATATGAATGGTTGGATTAAGGGCTGGCTGAGAAAAAAGTTCCACTCTCACTCTATCGCTAAGGGAAGACTTAATCCATGTGGAGGTTCACTTCACACACCTTGCTCATGACTGAGGACCCTTCCACACAGCCATATAACCCGGAATATCAAGGCAGAAATCCCCATGATATCTGCTTTGAACTGGGTTATCTGAGTCCACACTGTCATATATTTAAGTTCAAAGCAGATAATGTGGGGTTTTATTCAGCTGTGTCAAAGGGGCCTCAGAAGCTAAAAGTAAAAGTGATAAACTCATTTATAAAAACCTTTTATGCCCCAAAGGATGGATAAAATCTAAATACGTGAATGCTCACATAGGAAGGGATGGAAACCCACCAATATGATGGTGATGCAATCTCAAACAGGAGCAGAAGGGGGGTCACTCAGTCCTGTTCTCACAAAATAGTTCCCTCTCATTTGCTAAAAAAAGTCCTAAACAAACTAGGCCAACGATGAAAGCAATTTCACTGCTCTGGCCACCTCTTTATATATCCCATGGGATATACAAGATGGGATATATAATATAATAATGGGATATTATTATTAAAATGGGATTCAAGGTGACTTACAATCATTTTAAAACAGTGCAGCCAGAACATACATTTACAAAAATTAAAAAGAAATTAGATATCACTATTATGGTTAAAAAGTGTTTACTCATGCGTAGCAATTGCTTTTCCATGCAAGGAAATGTAATACTACTACTGCCCATTGTGGTGCAACTAACAGCACAAACAAACCTTGCCAGAGAGCCACTCTTATGTCCCCCCCCCCCCTTTTCTTTAGTGAATGACTGCAAAGCTAAATTTATGTTTGCATTGTTCTGGGTATAGAATCAAAGCTGGGTATTAAGCAACATGTGAGTATCTCATCTCAAATTCACCTCCTGGCATGAACAAGGACCTATTCTAACTCTTTAATCATTCCAGTCTGATAACCAAGCAATGGAAGGGCCAGGGGTACTAAGGCAGCAGACCTTCAAGAGCCCAGACAGACTGAGATGTTGAAAGTGCTTCCACTCCTCCTTATGTACAAACATAACAACAGCACCAGTCCTCCTTATGCACAAACATAATGACAGCACCACTCTTTTAAAAACAGAGACAAAGTCAGGGAGATGGAAAGAGACAGGGGCACATGGCCAGAAAGAGAAACAGTGACAAAAACAAGGACACCGAGAAGAACACCCAAGAGACTCATCCAAGCAGACAATCTGTCTCACAGAATTACACATCAGCCAAGCACATTACAAAATTAGTTAACTTTAGAAAGGAAGGAAAGAGAATGAAAAAACTGACATTTAAAAAAGGAATTATATTTTTTATCTAATTTTTGGATTACTTCTAACACTTGGCACACAAGACAGGAGACTACTTAATACATATTTTACGTGTTGACAGTGTGTCCATGAATCCATCTTCATTTTCTGTACTTCTCACATGCAAGAGAGACTTCTTAGAAATCAAGTAATTTGTTAATGAAGAATAATATGAATAGTAGAGGCTGTGTGTCTTGTGTTTTGGGGAATGCAATATATTCAATGTATTAGTGAGGGGTGAAAGTGGAGTGCTTTTCATCTAGGTCTCTCTAAAGCACCATGTCTCTAAAACATCCTTTCTTAATTTATGGTGTGCAACTCATCAAAGTAAATATAGCACATTAATCCATTTGGTAAATACTTTCCTCTTAAGCATAATTTGGGAAAAATATCACTGAGGTCTGGGCCTCTTATATGCAAAATGTTCAACTTTAGTTTATTATAAGGCTGACAGGGAAGTTATCAATGCATTCCAGATACTAGCATTTGGCCTGCCAGTGCCTATAAACATCTATATTTCTGAGCAACATGTAATTTCTTATTCTAGAACAATCAAATTCAGTTGTTGTTCTAAAAAAACCACACATTTTCCTCACTTTAAGCTAAGCACCCCACCAATAGCATGCACAATATGGGCATCTATGTTTTTATATATATGAACCTCATCTACTGTTTCTGAAGATATTGCTTACTTAAGGGTGTAGTCCAATTCAATGAAATTCAGTCAATGACAAAGGGATATTAATTATACATTTAATTAGCCTCAATGTTGTGCTAAGGTGCTCTGCAGAACATTTCATCAAACTATATATATATCCTGTCCCATCTCTGAGAACTCAGGGTGACTTACAACATAGATGGCAACCACAGAGTGACCTAACCTTGAAAGAAGCATCTCACTCAATTGCAGCCCTCCCTAAACATTCCATCACTCAACCTGCAATTGCCTCCCTGACATTCTGTGGCAACTCCTCTCTTCCAACCCTTGAATCTATGTGATAGAGAGTGTGTGGTTTTAATAAAACAACAAGAAGAAAAAGTTCCCTAACTTAGCACTTTGTGATCTGAAAACTTTTAGCATTGGAAGTTTCTCCTGCTCTGAAGTTTGACATAAAACCTTCCTGGGTGACTAGATCTTGACCTGACTTTCCCCCTCTAGCATAATAACAACACATAGAAAATTAGCGTGTCATATATTTACACGAACTCATCATTTTATTTTTGTTGTTATTAAGTGCCATCAAGTAGACTTCAATTTAAGGTGGCACTGGGAATGAGAGACCAAAGTAATCCTATTGTTGACAGCCTTACTCAGATCCTACAGACTTAGGGCCATGGGTTCTTCTGTCACTGTCTCTTGTTCCATTTTGGATTGTCTGTCATAGGGTTTTCACGATAACAAAAACCATGCAAAAGAGCTTCCCTGTGCCTTCTTCTGACCAGTACTAGTAAGTGTTGGCAATTGTGCCATTTTGTGAAGGAAACAAAGTTTGTACACTTTGCACCATCAGAAAACAAAGGTGTTGCTATCTCAGTCACTCTTGTGGACAATTTCAGATTGTGGAGTATTTTGGATTTCCTGACAAGGAATGTTCAACCTGTAACAGTGTAATCAGATATGTAATTATTGTTCATTATCATTAATGAAAAATTATTAAAACAATAGAAAAAACACATACATAGGTAAATAATTCATAAAACTAATAAAGTTAAAACTTTGAACCTACAATTCTATGCCCTGGGAATAACCAAACTCAATATTTCTGGGCAGATGCATAGAGTATTGTGCTGCAAGTCTTTATTTTAACCTACCAATAGCTTGTTTTATTTTGCAATTGATTGTCCTAATCCAGTTTTACATGATGATTCTATAAATCTCCACAGTCCCTGTTGGGTTTAATTGCTTTTAGTAATTTTTATATTGCTTCCACATGTCACCGGTTCACATTAATGAATATCTTATGCTGCAGATTAAGAGACAGCACATCCTGCTGTTCATCTTTATCTCTTGTGAGATGAACTAATGAGCCACACAGGATAAGAAAACATTCACCAACCCATAAAGACAAACAACAGTATTCATGCCGAGAGGAGACCTCAGATGAATCAGCCATCTAATGGAGTAGGCTGTTGCCTACAAAACAACATAGCACATTAATATAGTGAGTCTCTAGGTGCAACATCATTTTTTTTAAAAAAAATTGTGCTTCTACATACCACTGCAGTTTCCCTTGGAAAATTAAGAGATGACAGAGTGTGCACTAGTTTCTATTGTTTTGTGGTGATTGAGTGTCTGAGGGAAATGTGGTTCTCCAGCTCTAAGTGAATAAACATGACTCACTGAGCCACACAGGGTGTCTGCAACTGGTGTTTGAATCACAGGATGGGTAGAAGCAAAATACCCTTGCTTCCTGATGGCCATACAGCAGCTGCTCCACACCACTATCAGAACAAATTGTTAGCAAACAAGATGATCCATGCATGAAAAAATAAATTTCTCAACATTATGTTCCTGCCCTTCATCTATGGAGCCTAGTTTTCAATGAAGTGGTGAATGAGGTATCTTGTAGTTGTACCACCGCAGAGACTGCTGTAGGGAGATCAGATAATAGCATGCTTCCCATGAGCAACCCCCCCCTCCCCGACTAAAACACACGAATCCATAGGGTGTTGGTTTATAAAGAGTATATTTTCATTAACAGCTATTAGGGTTCAAATTTTGCCAACTTTAAAATCTAAGAACATCTCCAAGATCAATAGTCTCATTGACGGTAGCACAGCATTTTTGTCGTTTCATATGCTTTGATTGTACCATCAGTTTTAATGGACCCTACATTCTCTGCTTCCTATGCATATATCACATTGTTTTGCACACATGATTGTTTCTTTTTGAACTGGGCATATTTTGCATTCTTCCCACCTTCAAGAATTATTACATTGTCTTCCCATTACAAATCTTTGAACTAAGGTGAAATTTCATCAAGCACTATGAGCCGTGTGGAGATACATAAAAAATGTATCTGTTTTCCCCTTTGCAAATTATTTTTGGAAGCAGCATCAGAACTAGGGTCAATACTTTTCTTGCATTTGTTGGATGCCCCCAAAAACAATGAAATACAGGTTCCTACAAAAGATGCAGGTTACCATATTGGTACCATTCCACCAAGCAGAAGCGCATCCCCATGTTGGATGTGCAGAGCCTTGTTCTGATTTAAACAGGCTCTAATGTCAAGTATGGTCATCCAGAACAATGCTACTCAAGGTATTTCCCCCTAATATGTCAGGGACCAGCACCATATTGTGCTGGTCCCTGACATCTACTGGTGACTTTTTTGTCTTGCTTGAAATTACCTAACAGTGGTCCATGGACCATTACCTTGAGTAGATTAATGTTTAGAGCACTTGGTTCTCAGTCTGTGGGTCCCCAGATGTTTAGGTCTTCAACTCCCAGAAATCCGAACAGCTAGTAAACTGGCTGAGATTTCTGGAAGTTGAGAACCAATGGCTTAGAGGAATTTGCAACACAACTGGCTTGTAAGAAAGGTGGCTTTCTATCAGTAATTGTGGCTGAGACTTACAGCTTTACTGTGAGGGGGGGAAAAATCAAAATAGGCCCTTTGGTCTCTGCAGATGCTCCAAGAAAGATACTATAGAAATCCTTTTCTTTTGTCTATTTCAAAGTCAAGCCCAATGCTTGGTTCTTACCTTAACTGCCCCATTGCAAAATAATGCAGCACAGCGAAATGCAGATTTTTTTTTTGGGGGGGGGGGGGGTTGTCCTAGTTTTCTTCTCATGTGGAAGAAGCAGATGTGCTGTATTTATCTCAGCCATATGTTTCTGTCTAGAATTTAGGGCCCCATACACTGAAGTCACATTAGAAAATCTGATTTCTAAAAGTGGCAAAGGGGGACTAGATGGAGACAGTCATAGCCTGTCCCACATAGAAATATAGGAAGAGTCCTAGACCTAAATTCTCATTTAATCCTGAAACTACTGGTTTTGTCTATGCATTGAGCAACTAATTGAATGGATGTAGTCTAGTTAGGGGTAACCAACATGATGCCAGTCATAGTAATCTGTGTGGATGCTTTTGGGATGTCACAATACAGCAAGAGCAGTTGGTAGCTTCCGAATTTGTGGAGTTTTGAATCTGATTTTAGTCTCCTCTGCTTTTAGTCTGAACTTTATAGGAGATACTCAATATGTCTCTCCTCAGAATAGGTTCAGCACCTTGGCTAACTCCTTCATATTAAACCCGAGAGCAGTGGTTCTCAACCTGTGGGTCCCCAGGTGTTTTGGCCTACAACTCCCAGAAATCCTAGCCAGTTTACCAGCTGTTAGGCTTTTTGGAAGTTGAAGGCCAAAACATCTGGAGACCCACAGGTTGAGAACCACTGCCCTAGAGTGTATTCGACACCACATTGACATGAAATCCATCAACTGTCCTTGCAATGTAGATGCAAACAACAGAATACACACTCTCCCTTATCAATGAAACCTGCAGGTTGCAAGTCCTAGCAAAAGAACAGGTCATGAAGCAAAAGCAAAGCAGGCAAGCTGCACTTGAAGCTGTATGTTCTATACACTCTCTGTAGTGTGTAAGGTAATTGTATTGGCCTATGCATCTCCTTTGTCACTATTCAGGCAGCTTCAGGCCTACTCACTCTCCTGAGATTGGTAGGATCATGCAGACTAGGAAGGCAAAAGAGGGGTTTAGAAATGGCAGGGGTGGGGCAGGTTAAGTAGTTAGTAAGCTCCGATGCCCCTTTAAGCAGCCCTTCTGCGCTACTCAGTTCAGTGCGAAATGAGGCATGCAGTTAGTACAACAGCTCAGCCCCCTGTGCCCAGTTATTTATTATAATCCAAATTATAGAATGCGGCTACAGTTAAAATGCCTCGTAGAGATAGAGAACAAAAATATTTACCATTAGAAAACGTCTGGGGGGTAACGTGCTGCTGGAGGTGCCTTTCCCCTGTTTAACATTATAAAAAAGTCATTTAGAAACAGTATCCAGCAAGGAGTTTGGCTTTTTAAAAGAGTAAATATTTTTAATGCATAGATGAATCACAAATGTTCATTGATTCCCCCCCCCCCCCTCTCCCTCTGCCATCATTCTAACTAAAATCAATACTTAATCCATTGGCCAACTGTTTCCTATCTATGTGCTACCCCTCTCTCCCTTCTCTGTCCACTATGGGAAATCTGGACTCACTAGTAATTAACTAATTTCCTTTTCAGAATGTATATACTGAGAACAGAAAAGGACAGACAAAAAGAGAAAGAAAATTAGTATTTAATCCACTTAATAAAATACTAACTTAGCTAGTAATTGCAAGCATCGAAACAACTCTTGCTTGGGCATGAAGGACGAAGTGGCAAACTATGGTACATTTAGGGATCCATTCTCAAACCTTCCAGGGGCCCCAGAAATAACTTCACAAGGTCACATGCAGCTCCTAAATTGCACTGTGCATACATTAAAACAAATTCAACCTACAAACTTGGTAGTAAGAAAGCATGCATAAAAAGCAAACTTGGCTGTTTGCAAGACCAAAGCTAGATCAATGTAAAGGCTCAATGCACATAGACCAAGCTACCATCAGCTGATGTCAAGAGATAGTTCCTTAAGGTGACCAAGTATTCAGAAGATCTCCTCTTTCATTTCCTCTGGAAACGTCTTGCTTAATTTGAAGCCATTTCCAGAGTGATAACAAAAATAGGAGAGCAGTCTTGTGACATCATAAAAACTAACACATTTATAGTAGTCTGGTGCAGCCCACAAAGTGGACATGCATTCAAAAAGGTTACTGCTAGAAATGAGGTTTTTTTTTAGTTACTGGGTTGTTGTGAGTTTTATGGGCTGTATGGCCATGTTCCAGAAACATTCTCCCCTGGTGTTTCACCTGCATTTATGGCAGGCATCCTCAGAGGTTGTGAGATCACAACCTCTGAGGATGCCTGCCATAGATGCAGGCAAAACTTCAGGAGATAATGTTTCTGGAACATGGCCATACAACCCAGAAAACTCACAACAACTCAGTGATTCTGGCCATCAAAGCCTTCGACAATACATTTTCTGAGTTACTTTCACAGCTTCTGAAGGATTAATTTTTTATTACAGCATGAACCATTCAGAGTCCTGACAGTGAAAAGTATGGTTATGAACACCAGCCATTCACAAAATCAATGCTGACAACATGAATATTTTGATTCTCCAATTAATACTTGTAGTGTCATATATGCAAGTGTGGTTTACATGTATGAATGACTCATTTCAGAAAGAGTGTAGGGTACTATTCTGTGGCCCTTTGTGCAAAATTAGCCTTGTGCAGCTGTCAAGTCCCGGGAGTGGCCCCTGTTACAGTTACTTACTGGTTGGGATGAAAAAGAGCAGGCAATTATTCAGTATATGGCGTAGAATTAATGCAGTTTGACACCACTGCCGTGGTTCAGTGCAATGGAATCATGGAAGGTGTGGTGTTGTGAGGTTTTTAGCCTTTTCTGCCAGAGTGCTGGTGCCCCACCAAACTACAACTCCCATGATTCCACAGCAATAGCCTATGGCAGTTAAAATGGTATTATGCCCCATTAATTCTACAATGTAAATGTGCCCTTAGTTCCCAGAAGGAGGAGTAACAGAGTATTCAGTTTGTCTTAGCAGACTTTGATTTTCTTCCCCATTTTTTGCTAATCCAGTTCCTCAATGTCTCAATGGTTTGGCCACTCTCTCTTCACCTCACTAATAGAGAATAATACTATACCTTCCCAAGTCTTGACAGCTGCAGGGGTGGGGCTTTTTGGACAGGACACATAGGGTTCAGAAAACCCTATTCAAACAAAAAGGCATACACAATGTAAACAATGAACTGCATGGGCAGAGAGGTATACTCTTCAGTGTAGGTTCATTGGCACAGTGTGATAAGAAACCATTATAGTGATTCCAACCTCTCTCACAACATATATTCACTACTTTTCCTAGTTCCAGGATGTTGGCGTTACAGGAAATCTTTGTGAATTTTCACTATTAAGACTATCATGTCACCATCAATATTTGCTATTTTTCATTTCCTTCTGACCTCACTGTCTACAATCCCACCCCAAATCCACTGCTGATATACCTATAATTCTGGATAATATTACAAACGTATTAGTCTCTAAAGCACCACAGATTTCTATTGTTTCTTTCTCAAGGGTTTCGATTGCCATCTTCAGTCCAAAAAGCTTCCAGATCAATTTACAAAGCTCAGCAATGAGGCAGTGCCTACTCCCAGGTTTATAATTCTAAAATAATAACCACAAAAGAAAAAGAATGGTGATGAAGGAGGTAAAAAGAAAACTCAGGCACTTGTTCTTGGTTATACCCTTCTTCTAACCATCACTTAAATGGAGATGTCATTGCTTGGTTGAGCTTCTTCAGCCAAATATAAAGACTCTGCTACATAATTTATCAAAGGGTTAAACAATCCTCTACATCAGGGGTCCTAAACTAAGGCCCAGGGGCCGGATACGGCCCTCCAAGGTCATTTACCCGGCACTCGCTCAGGGTCAACCTAAGTCTGAAATGACTTGAAAGCACACAACAACAACAACAACAATCCTATTTCATCAGCCAAAAGTTGGCCCACACTTCCCATTGTAATACTAATATTTGTTAATTGTTCTTCATTTTAATTACTGTATTGTATTTAAGTGTTTTTGCACTACAAATAAGGTATGTTCAGTGTGGGGGTTCAACACTGGTTGACATTGCCTCTGAGAAACATGTGATTAAAGAGAAGGTGAGATTTTGTACTGGGCTTTGTAAGGTAAAATCCTATTCACTTAAAAAAGAATTGTTAAGCTTGACATCAAAGACCCAACCTGTTCTATCTATGGGTTATTCAGGATTCACTGGACCCTTCTATGAAAAGGACTGCAATAGACCTACAGTTCTAAATGGACACTGGAGAGGTTTGCAACAACAATTGGAGGACACTTTCATGAAACCATCTGCCACTTCTGGGACATCTTAAGGCTGACCTGCAAATGTCCTGCACTTGCAAACAACATAAAGAAGCAGTTTATTAGTCATGCTTAAACCAAAGCTTAAACAAGCTGGAAGCACAAGAGAGCCATGCAACCAGGCAGTGTGCACCAACCATGTGGAACAAATTATCCCAAAGGGGGCCAGAGAGAGTCACAGCGTCTGAGTGCTGGTTTCTGAGACTTAATGAGAACCAAATCCCAGAGTCAAGCAAGAGTGTGGAGAAAAGACAGATGTATCCTGAAATTAGAAAGGGGATCAATAGGCAGTAACTCATCACTCCCTGATGCTCCTGAACTCATAGCTCTTGGCATCGTCCGCTGCCAAGACAATGGTAACGAGCTTCTATCGTTTTTAAAAAATCACATTTAAGACCAGCTTTCTCATCCTCTCAACTTGGTGAGCCAGTGTGTGTGGATGTTCTTAACTTCTCCATTTTTCCTCTACAACAAAGAGAAGATAATGTTTCTATTGGCAATAGTCCCCAAGGAAGGCAAAGGTTTGCTTTTTCATGGAGACATGACACTATATCCAAATGTTCCCAGCTGTTCCGCTCATAAAATCATAGAATGACAGAGTTGGAAGGGCCATCCAGTACAAACCCCCTACCATGATATCTATTAGCATTCTTGCTGTGATGCAATGAGTAATGCTTCTTGTGAAACAAGAGTGACAACTCATAGGGAGATGTTTGTTGATTGCATAGATCTCACACTTCCCACAAGATGTCCAAGTTTCAGCCTAAGAAACTCAGAAAGAAGTTTCAAGGTTGAGAAAATGCCCAATAATAATCTCGGTGGGAAAATAGAGCACAAGCCAGACAAATTCAGTTTGGCCAAGGCCCTATTTGGCCTAGAAATCTTTATATGCCTGTCAAGTCAGAGGAAATCAGTGGCTGTCTAGGACAACAGATTTTGGGAGGACATCATATCCCATCACAGTTCCATTCTGAAACTCAATAAAGATTCCCAGGTCTAATCATGGTGATTGCTGCCATTATTTATTGCTAAATACATGCCTTGAGAAGAGCAGGCTGCCTAAGAAATGTAAGCCTACTTTTGTTATGAGCTTCAATTTGGTGCCCAATGGATAGACATTTATGGTAAATTCTCCATGTTTCAACGAGGCTAAGAATTAAATAATCTTCCACATATACTCTGTAGTTGGGGAATCATCTATAAAATTTACTTTGCAAATAGTGCTACTCTTGCTTGCGGACAATATAATAAAGTTTCCTTCAGAAAGCATTAAAAGAATGCATTCTAGAGAAGTGTAGAGGGAACCTCCTAGATACCTCGTTACCTGGAACCCTATCACAAGAATTTTCCCAAATATGAAAAGGAGGGACCTATCTCAACCTCTGCTGCACTATTAATCCTAATAGCATACAAAATGTTGTATAGCACAAAATCTACCTTTATAGCCTGGCAAATAATCTATCTTTAAGGTCATCAATATTTTGAAGGCATCACAAGGCTTCTGAAAGCAACTATTCATTCAGAGTATAAATAGTTAGGTTTCACATGAATCATGGAAATCAAGAAATATTTCATATGTTTGCATTAATCTACTGCTGTTGGACATGGTAAAAATATGTTTATCACTAGTACATAACATATGAAAATAATTTGGCCCATTTAGCAGACTTGTCCACTTTGATTAGGAGTTGCTCTGGCATTTTTTGCAGAAATCCTTCCTGCTGCCTCTATTTTTAACTTATTCAAAAGGCTACCAGAACTGAAACTGTGAACTTCTTTCTGAAAACTATGACACACATTCACATATTCTGAGCTGACATGGCATGAATATAATGTGGATGACTAGCACAGCTAAATGGAAGGCACCATCCCTTTAAATATACTAACCAGGCTCTGTATTCTCCAAAAGGTAATCACAAAGGTAGGGTGATGACAATGACCAGTTAGTCTCTGCTCTGGGACTGGAAGTGG